CTCCCGCGTCCCGAGGCACGGAGCAGCAGCCGCTCCTCCGCCTCGAAGCAGGCCTCGGGCAAGCGCCTCACCCTTCGTTCGTCCGCGGAGCACAAAGGAACGGCGGCGCACTCCGGTCAATGTAAAACCATTTTTTAATTCTAAATCACTTTCACAACAGTGAAAATTAGTGAACAGTAATGATAATGCACTAAACAAGCCATAATGGGCCGTGTGCAGTCTGAGTACAAGGGAGGGAAGTGGAACGATACAAAAAAGCACACTGAGAAAAAGGTAGGGACAAAAGCGTTAACACTTTTAGACTATTCCATTCTTCGACTGCCAGAAAATAAGGGCTCTCAGTCGTGTTTCTGCAGCCACCTCTGTCTAAAGCCATTACATCTCTCACCCATAGATGGAAAAAAAACCCAAGCCACTAAAATTCTGTATTGTAAAACATAAGCATTAGTTAAAATCGGTTACCTCTTGAACCTATTACAGTCACTTTTCTGTACTCTTTATCGGAAAAAAAGGCTTTAAAGGGATAACCTCCTCCCTGGATGACCTGTTCTCAGCATCGAATTTCTTAATACAAAAAGAAGGAAAACCATCCCTTTCTCTGTCACTTGGCCTTCCCCTTGCCATCAGCAGGGGGTGCTCCGTGCTCAGGAAAGGAAGTCAGGCCTGCGACCTTCTACGACAGCCGCTCGCTGACAAGAACGCAATAAATAGCCTTTCTCCTACAAAGTGTTGTAGTCACCAAGGTTTGCACTGGAGAAGAACCGTATGAAGAAGTTAAGCTTCTCGAAAGTGCCACACAACGAAAGTTGAAGCACTGCTTCGGCTGTTTATAGCTGAACAACATTCTGCCAGATTATCATCGAGTCAGGTACGAATTTGACTAGATGTGGCAAAACACTGCAGCTTTGCAATGCTCTACTTGCCAGATGAATTCTGGAGGTAGGCAAGTTAAGACTTCAGTCATCCTCTGTCTTGATTCTAAAAGTGAACAGTTTATAATTACATAAATAAGCTTCTACAACAATTAATTAAGCTGTTCTGCCCAGAAACCCCATCCATACACTAGAAAAACCCTAGCTACTGAAACATTTCTATGAGTTCATTTGTTTTGTCAGTTGTCTGTCTTACTGCCAAGGAAGTCACAATATTCATCTTGCAGGAAATCATTATGACTGTCAGTGATCTGAATCAAAATAATATAAAAACAGTAAGAGGAAAAAAAAAAAAAAGGAATTGCCTAGTCAGAGAAATATGAAAACTGTTCATCTTGCCAGGGAATCTCACATATCTGCTGTTCTGAAAGAATTTACACAAATACATCAGCAGTACTCTTTAAAGCTGTACACCAAACAGGATTCCAAAACGGCTACAGAGTGCTCACCTTCTGAAATATTCTCCCCTCAGCACATGAGTGGTTGTGGTCTCCCCCAGCACTTCAAAATGATCTCTTTGGTAGATACTGCAGACTCTTGCACTACAGCCGTTCTGCTGTGGCATGGAGTAGCTGTAGCTGTGTGCACCTGCAGGGAGCTCTTACCAATTCCCCTAATGTGGCACGTGCTAGCAAAAGCAGGATCTCATTTTTCCTCCTGTATATTTTTACAGTATGACAAGTTTAAGCTCAGAAGTCACGTAAAGATGCCATTTGTTCCTCTCCCCAAACAAGCTGATCTCAGATCTGTAATAGGGTTTTATTTGGGGCACATCACCTTGCGTAGAAAGTCTCAAAGCCTCGGGAAGAATAAATGTAGCTACAGTAACAAGTTGTGAGGGGATTATCCAGGAGTGCAGCCACAGGCTGCTGTGTGGAACCAAGGAAGACAACACTGTTTTGTCAGGGGGGAATTGGGCTGGGTGAGACAGACAGGTGTGTCATACTGTTCGGCAACCCCACCCAGCTCCACAACCAGAGAATCTTCCAGTGTCTGGCTCCAGCAAATTCAGGCTTTAAAAAATTGCAGCATAAATTTGTATCCCTTCTTCCAACATCCACTATAACTGCTTCAGGAGGGGTTTTCCATCACGCCGGGAAACAACAGCAAGAAAGGAAACCAGTCTCCAGACCTGGTTCCATGTACACCACGTGCTGCGCCAAAGAGTCCTATCAGTGCTGCAGGGGATGTCCTGAAGAAGGCTGGATGTTGATGTGAAGACCTTAAATAACGTCCACAGCTCTGGCAGATCCATTGTGGTTGCCAAGCAGAAGATAGTGATCGCTGCAGAAGTTTCCTTACCTGCCCAGTCTACCTCGGGGCGCCCGTCACATAAACCTGGTGTCACTGTTTGGCACAGGATTTCAAAGCAGCACTCCTTTGAGGAGCGGAGCTCAAAGCTAGGCCTGTGGTTTGTGGCAGAAACCTGTTGCACAAGACAGCTGAGCTGAAACGTGCTTTTTAACCAATGTTTAATTTCCAACTCTGGTGCAAAATGTGAGATTCCTCATCGTGCTGTGGTACCACCAATTCCTGAAGCCCATAGTTAGCTATGGAACCAGACACCAAGAGGCTTAAAATGGGATGGGGATGCAGTTTGTAACTGTTTCAGTGGCCTCGTTGGCCATGAACATACAGAATAACGGAAAAGGTTTATGCAATCAACAGCCAGAACATTATCACCAGAGCCACAAACAGGAAGAGGCGGGATAGGAACTGCTCATCCACGTATTGAGGAGTCCCTGGAACAGCTGGAAAACAGGAAGTAAAAAGTTCAGCACTTCCTCTTCTCTAGAACCGTGTATATTCTGAACACAGTACACTCATAAATTAAAAGATATGCAAGAAATCTACTCGGTGAGGAACTGTTATTTCCTTCCCTGGGACTGGCCAGCCATACTGGAAGATCAGAAGGAAGACAAACGTCAGCCCCCTGGAGCAGGACTCATGGTAAACATCCTCTTGACTAATAGCAGCAGGCAGCTCCAAGTGCTACAGCACACGTGGGTGTGCTCAGAGGGCTTCTAGGGACGGAACTGAGCCAAATTCACTGCTTAGTTCACTGCTGACTGCTGAGCTAAGTTCACCGTTCCCACCCTGAGGAACTTTACCACCTCTGCCTGAGGGCTCCTCCCCATCAGGGTGAAACATCTCCGGATAAGGAAATGGTAAAACGCTCAAAGCTGCGTGTGTAGCCTTGACCATGAGAACTAATGTAAAGCACACGAGCCGTGCAGCTCAGGCTGTGCCTTTCTGGAACTGCTGCACTGAATCTGCAGCTGAAAAACAGATAAAGGAGTTGGTTAAATTACGGCTGTTAGAACAGCATGAGTTTAACAGTCCTTAGCTCAGTCAGACCTCCACACAAATTTTCAGTGGATACTGAAGCACAGTTAATGCAAGTTAATTTGACCCAAGGACAGCACAGGTCCTTGGCAACACAGGTGTGACATGAAGAACGTGCTTCTGTTCCTCATCATCCCTGTGCCACGTGACACGATGGAGGTGATCTGCCAGGCACAACCCGTCACAGAGGAAGTCCAGAAAATCCTGGGCAATAGGTTTGCTTGTTCAAAACACCTAGGCCCAGTTTGCTTATGGTATAGATGGGGAGGAGGGTTTCTGGGGATTACTTAATTTTTAGAGTGCAAGATCACTACTTGGCGTAACCCAACTGTTTTTTTCTTAATTAAAACCAATGAAATAATTTAACCAGAAATTTACTTCTGGAATACAGATTACTTTCTTGGAGATAAATTTCTGAACACGGAACAAACTTTGCTCTTATTATTTTGTGGTACACAGCACCAGATCAAATTTTTCTGTCCTGTCTTTCAGGAAATGGTCCTTTCCTGCTGTTTTCAAAATATGGGTCTCCTTCATTCTCCCCTACTGACTCCTTTTTATTGTTATTAGAACCTCTAGTCCAATTTGTCTCATTTTTTCAAAGGGAGTCAGTGCACTGAAGTACAAAAGGAGACACTTGGATTAACGAGGAGAAGTCTTTTGTGCCACTGCCTCTTCAGTTCTACTGCCCTCTCAGGGGCACCTTCAGAAAATCGTATGGAAGTGACAAACTTGCTTCTGGTGCAAGCACATGTACAAAATGTGTACGCCATACACTGTTTTCTCTGCTGGGTGTCTCCGTGCTTCTGTTTACAGCACTGATTCACTGTTCAGAAAGTTTTGTCATTTAGCAGGTTATTTGTTTAAAAGTTACAAGGGAGTTTGTAAAACATCTGTTTGTGGCAGGACTCTTGGAGGAGATGGGATGCATGGTACCTGGAGGAGGCCGCCCGTCGTTTATGTTGAATGCTGTTGCAAATATACCAAAGGGAAACGCCCCAATTCCAAATGACATTTGGAATCCACCATCACCGAACCCAAAGCCCTGGAATCCCTGCAGAGAACAAAGCAACAGAGAAAAAAGGTACGAATTATTTAAATCCTATTTCCAAATATTTTGTAAACGTGCAGACATTCCCTCTCACTGGCTTTCCTACAGCTGAAGGAGTATCATGCTAGCTGGCAACTTTGGGTCTGCCACACTATTGATAAATACCTCCTGGGTTTAAAATGTTTCACCCAGTTTACTAAAACTTGACAGAGCAACACAGAAGTTTGAGAAAATGAAAACTAGGAACCACAGTTCTTGATTGAAGGCCACAAATTAACAAAAGCATTTCTGTAACATTTCTCAACTTAAAATAGTATATTTATGATAATATATCAAAAATCAACATTACCAATTTTATTTAGAATGTCTTAACTTATTAATAATTCTGTATTAATAGCTATTAGCTATATAAGTTTAAAAAAGGCACTTTTAAAAATTAATCTGCATTGATTTTCGTGATACATGTGCAGCATTTAAACATTCAGCAAAGTGACAAATAGGTAGTGAGAGTCAGAGCATCACAGAGAACAGTACTTAAAAAAACAAAAAAAAAATTTACCAGGGGGACTCTAATTAGGGTGGCAGGTAAAGTCATCTGGGGCAGGGATGC